CTATTTTCTTTTAGTATATAATATCTTTATCATATTTGTAGACATTTTTCAGAGGCTGTAATTGTGTATTGATTTACTTAGGCTAGTTACCTTATTTGCCCTAATCTCATTATCGTGAATTAGTGTGTATCCCGTGCGATGCATGGACAGACTTATTATTTAAAACTTTTTTTAACTTGATTTAAATATAGTTATTTATATTTAAACATTCATTATTGTTTCCTAATATGTATATTTTCATACTTAATTACCATGCAAATAAAAGAACAAATTATTTGACACAATTAATTCCTATGAAAAATAAACAACTAATTAATTATCATGCATATTAGACGGGAGATCCCATAAATAAATATTATGCATATTTGATAAATAATTTGCAAGGACGACTAGACAGTTGGGCGATGCCTAACGGTCTTGTAGCAAATTTCAATATTTTTTTTTTTAAATACTAATTATTTTATTTTTTTATCATGTGTTCTTTGTAATATATTAATATTACTATTTAGATTTAAGTGCGTGAATTTATTATAAAATGGGGTAATTTTATTTCTTATATAATAAAAAAATAAAAATAATATACTTGATCTTAATCTCTGGATCTCACCTAACCCCTAAGCCCATAGACGCTCTAGGCGGTGGTCAGATGCCTAGCCTACTTGATTCTATCCATCAGGTGAACTAAATGAGGCAAAATTGCAATTCTAGTCATGTTGGTTTAACGTCATAGTAATTTCTGTTCTAAAGCTCCCACACTTCGCCTTTTGGTACTGTCAATTAATAATTTGTTACAATTTCGATTCATTGAGGACTAAATTGCTACAAATTCCCATATTTCCAAATATTCGAGTAGCAATTTAAGTTTAAAATTTTGTTGCAATTTTAATTCTCAAATAAATAAAATTGCATCAAAATATTAAATCTTTTTTTTTTTCCCAGTCAAACAACCAAATATATTACTCAAAGGAAACCAGTCTTAATACATCGCATAACCCGAAGATTACAGCCCAAATGCTACGAGAAGGAGTATACTCCTCCCCTCAAAGACCAACATGGTCACAAAGAAATAACATAAAAACAAAAATAAAAACAACTTAAAGCAAAATAAAATCATCAATTTTACAATCCATCATTAATTGCTTAATGGATTCAATAAGCTTATCATGGCCCTTCCCAGTTGCATCAATCTTTTGCAGAGCCAATACAACTGCAGCACTATTAATATAACAAGAGCATAGCTGCCAAGTTGGTTCTGTTGCCTTCACCATCCCCAGCCCCCATTGAACAGCTAGAAGATCTGCTGCTAAAGAGTTTTCCTCTCCTGGAACTTGCCCTTCCCACTTCAACTGGCTGCCATCCTCTTGTTTCACAACACAATCCACCTCAATGTATCCAAGAACAGATGAATGAGCACTGATAGCCACCCATGGCTTACCTACTCCCTGAGATAGTTCATCAGTCCTGAACCCATTTTGAGCCTGCATCTTTTGGGAATTCCATTCAATCCATTCAGCTTTTGCTCCAGCCACAACTTTAGTCTCATGTATCCAATCTCCCTTAAACACCCATTTGTTCCTTGCCTTCCACATGTTCCACATTAAGAAGGCAGAAAGCTCAAGTCTGTCCCTTACCTGCTTCTTCATCCCCTTGACACATAATTCCTGCCACCATCTTTGAAAACTTGTGTGCTTACCTTGAAGTAGATTCCACTCAATTCCACAAAGTTTCCAGCATAACTTAGATTTTGGGCATTGAAACAGAAGATGTTCCAACGTCTCAGACTCTTCTCCACACACCTGACAAATGGGGTCCACCCCAACTCCTTTCTTACCCAAATTACCATTAACCCCAATGAACCCAAACCAACATCTCCACAAAAAATGCTTCATCTTAGATTTGATATTCAGTTTCCAAAGAGTAGTCCACATCTTTTTCAACCAACTATTATGATGACTAGAAGATGGCTGATCCTTCTGATTAACTCTAGACTCCATGATAGCCTTGTAAACAGCTTTGACAGAAAACTCACCTTTCTTCCCCCCATGCCAAATCCACTTATCCTTCTTGTTATGATTAGATAATGGAATTTTAAGGATCTGAGCTGCATCCACAGGGTGAAAAGTTTGCAGCACCAACTCTGAGTCCCACTCTCTACCTCCCTCTTTAATCAATTCACTCACCTTTCTAATCCTACCTCTATCTCCCCAAAAACAGCACCTAGGTCTAAAAGAACTATTGTTTGGAATCCATGGAGAATCCCAAACCTTGACAGTAGAACCATCCCCCACCACTATCCTAGCCCCTAACTTAAGAGAACTCCTCACACTCAGCCAGCTTTTCCATAGCCAAGAATCCCCATCCCTAGCACTCACATCCCATAAACTTCTATCCCAGAAATACCTACCTCTCAAAACTCTACTAACAAGCAAATTAGGACATGTGATTAGTCTCCAAAGTTGTTTAACCAGCAAAGCTTCATTAAAGACCCTCATATCCCTGAACCCAAGCCCCCCCTCTTCTTTAGCTATAGTTAACTTCCCCCACTCAGCCCAGTGCACTCTGTTACCACCCCCCTCCTTTTTACCCCACCAAAAATTAGCCACCTCCCTGCAGATTTGAGAAATAATGGAGATAGGCAATTTAAAACAAGACATAACATATGTGGGTAAAGCACTCAAAACAGATTTTATCAGAATCTCTCTGCCTGATTCACTCAAATATTTATTTTTCCAGTTCACCACTCCAGCTCTCACACACTCACTCACATATTGAAAGGTGTCCCTCTTAGATCTTCCTATACCTAAAGGCAAACCCAAATATTTAGAAGAATGAACTCTCTGGATATCATGTAAAGCTCTGCAGATTTGAACCTGGGTTTCCTCCTGAGTATTCTTGGAAAATAAGACAGAAGACTTATCAAAATTGACAACCTGACCAGAATCATGACCATACATAGCAAGGATATTACACACAAGATGAGCATGCTGAAGATCTGCTTTACAGAACAAAATGGAGTCATCTGCAAAGAATAGATGACTGACACTAGGAGCATTCTTTCCCACTTTAATACCTTTATACTGACCAGATAAACAAGCTCTATGAACCAAATTAGAGAAGGCTTCAGACACCAGAATAAAGATGTAAGGAGATAAGGGATCTCCTTGTCTCAAACCTCTAGTAGGTTGAATGTATCCAAGGACAGATCCATTCACATTAAAGGAAAATGAGGTTGAGCACACACAAGCAAGGATCCAAGAAATAAAGACCTCAGAAAATCCCATTACTCTACACACTTTAGCAATAAAAGCCCATTCAACTCTGTCATAAGCCTTAGCCATATCAAGCTTAATGGCCATAAAATGCTGTTTACCTTTTCTCTTGCTATTCAGAAAGTGCACACATTCATTAGCAACAATCACATTATCAAGAATCTGTCTACCAGGAACAAAAGCAGCTTGGGTACAAGAAATACACTCACTAAGCACTTCTTTAAGTCTGTTTGCAATGATTTTGGCAATCAGTTTATAAATCACATTACAAAGACTAATGGGTCTAAAGTCTACTACTCTGGTGGGATTTTTCTTTTTAGGGATTAAAGAGATAACAGCATGGTTCAACCCTTTTGGCATTTTCCCAGAGTTAAAGAAGTTGACAACAGCAAGACACACATGATGTTTAATGGTAGGCCAAGATTTCTGAAAAAAACAAGCTGTAAACCCATCTTCCCCAGGAGCCTTGTCCTGGTCCATACCAAAAAGAGCAATTTCAATTTCCTCAACTTCTACAATTCTAATTAATCTCTCATTCATCTCTGTATTAATAGATCTTTTAATGCCCTCCAAATTACAATGATGATCAATAGGATTAGAAGACTTGAATAACCCATCAAAATACAACATAAGCTCAGTCACAGTTTCTTCCTTATTACTACACCTAGAGCCATCTGCTTTAGTAATATTATCAAGGCTATTGATCTTCCTCCTATGATTGACACATGCATGAAAGAATTTAGAATTTTTATCCCCTTCCTTCAACCATAACACCCTAGCTTTCTGCTTCCAAAACTTCTCCTCACTCTCATAAGCCAATTGGATCTCAATTTTACAGTTAGTCCACTCAGTCCAGTCTCTCTCTCCCCCCTGAATTCTAAGTCTATCCAGTTTATTAGTGTACTCAGTAATTTTCTCTCTAGCATTCAGATTAAAAGATTTGTTCCACAAAACCAGAGCTTTTCTGACATTTTTACACCTCTGAGTTACACTAAATAAAGGATGACCAGGCACATTCAAATTCCAGGCATTATGCACAGTTTCATGAAACCCTTCCACATTCAGCCACCTAGCATCAAACACAAATCTTTTCTTGAATTTTTCACAAACAACATCAGTATCTAATAACATCACAGAATGATCAGAAGAAACCACAGTGAAATGCTTAATCACAGAGTTAGAAAATTTGATAAGCCATTCCTGAGAAAATAGAAACCTGTCTAATTTCTCTTCAATGGACTTGTCTCCTTTTCTATTGTTGGTCCAAGTGAATGGATGACCAATAACATTGGTCTCCATCACCCCAAGAGTAGCCACAAGGTTCCTGAAGTCCACAAAACTAGAGTCCTCTCTCACAAGACCCCCCTTTTTCTCAGAATTATCAAGGATATCATTAAAATCCCCACTAATAAACCAAGAGTCTCCCCAAGCCAGACTATGCCTAATAATAACCTCCCACTGAAGTTTTCTAACTTCGCTATTAGTACTAGCATACACAAACACCCCCCAAAATATTTCATGACCTCCAGAAAAGTTGAATTTGACCTCAAGAAAAAATTCAGAATTGACAATATCCAAAATGTTGATCTTAGAAGACCAGCAGAGAAAAAGGCCCCCCTTGTACCCATCAGGTTTTACATAATACCAATTATCAACTAATTTGAGTTTTTTACACATAGACTCAACAAATTTTTGTTTTTTCTTAGTTTCAGACAAAAAAGCAAAATCAGGGAGATGGGTTCTTAAAAACTCCTTGAACTGGGAAATTGTAGAGGGTCCTCCCAAACCTCTACAATTCCACACCATAACTTTCATTTAAAACCTTGGGACCAATTATGGCTGGTTTCCTCCACCTCAGAAAAAGTTTGACACACATTTTTTTTAAATTTTTTCTTAATTTGGGACTCCTCTTGCTCTTTACATTCTTCTTCCTCTAATCCCTCACAATTTCTCTTCAAAGACCCCTGAAGCTTGCCCCCCTTAGACCCCTCTGTTTCCTCAATGACCATATCTTCATGAATACTCAGATTCTTAGAATTTTGATTTTTTGAAGCACCAGATCTTTTCCTATGAACTATTCTTCTCCATATAAGAGAAGGATGCACCTGAATATCCACAAGATTAGTATCTTGTGTAATCCCAATGTCCTGGGCAGGAATGATTTCCTTGCCTTGAACATTTTCCTTACACAGAACCACCCTGCCACACAAAGACTGAGAATCCTCATTTTGCATTAAAACCTGGTCCCCAGTGGCATAGGGCCCTGGTGAAGCAGGGTTACTAGGTTCTCCCTGGCTACTCTTGTCCCCAACCACACTCTTAACAACATTAACAGCAGGAGATGGCGGGTTGGCCTCAGTACTGGCCTGAGAGCCGTGAGTTTGACTTGATGGGCTTCTAGAGCCACTGAAAGTCGATCCACTCACACGCAACCATTCTCCATACTGCCCCACTTTAGGCATATTTTTAGTAATATCCTCCTGCTTTTTACTACATGTTCTATCAGAATGTCCTATGATTCCACAATAAAAGCAAAAAGATTGAAGATTTTCATACCTGAATTCCACCCATTTGCTTTCTCCACCCACCTTAATATGAGTCCCTCTGAGTATTGGTTCATTAAGGTTTAATACCACCTGCACTTTAACAACCTGGCTAGTTGAGGATCCCACACCTGGAATTTGCACATTAAGAACAGATCCTAAAAGACTACCAATTTTCATCCCTGTATCCATGGAAATCCAATGCAAAGGCAGGTTAAGTATATGAACCCAAATTTTGATTTTTTCCTCTTTACTATGAAATTCAATATCTTCAGGGTTCCATTTTTTTAGTAAAATGTATTGCCCATCAAAAGACCAAGTTTTGCCCTCTAAAATGCGATCCCTATCCTGTTCAGACTGAAATAAGAACTGAAAGCAGTTATCTCCCAAGTTTCTAATATTAAAAGGTTTTTTAGTGAGCCAGATACTCCCAAGAGTAGTTCTAAGCCCCCCAAAATTCACTTTTTTTTCCCCAAAAACCTTACCTATTAAACTGGTTTGACATTCTTTTAAACCAGGCGCAATATCATCAACCGAAAATTGTAGCCCTTTCTCTTCCTTCTCAGAAAGAGTAAATTTAGACAGTTGATCTGCAACATCCTGAGCCATACCCAAAATAACCAGAAACTACAGATCCAGATCTAAAATACACCCCACAACACACAAAGGAAAAATGCAAACACAAACCCTAACCACAAGACAATCGCAACTAATCAACAGGCACAATCACATAGCAGATAATCAGTAAAAAGCACAGATAGAGTTGAAGGGCTTAAATCGCGACCTATAAACCAAAAAACCGACTAACGAACAAAGCAAAAGGAACGCAAACAACAGACAACGAAGATACAGCAAAGATAAAGAACACAACCTACAAAATCAAGGAAAAGCCCAAGAAATTCGATGAAGAGAAACCCAGGAAACCAAATCCTACAAGAGGAACTATCACTCTAAAGAGAGACGAAAACCCTAGAGAGGGACTTTTTTTTAACAGCTTTAGTACCGTGTCTAGGTTAATAAGTGAACTTGGGCCTAGCTAAATCTTATTGGGAAGGAATCCGGACCGTGTTTCATTGAAGGGGAGCGCAACCTGTGTAGGTTTGCGGCAGTACCGTCGTATCGTATCCACCGTCCAATGTCTTCGTTCTCCTCTCGTTCATATCTTGACCAGATAGGGTTCCTGCCTACTTTCGCCGTCGCAATCTAGATCTCGATCCTCTCTACTTTTCTCCTTGCTCGACCTAGACCGATCGGCGAGCACCCTACCCCTATCATGGCCCCTCCGTGGGTCTTGCTCGATCGCAGAGTGAGTTTCGTGCGCAGCGGACCTGCGGTAATCGACGGCTCCTGGGATTATGACGATCTTTTGGCGGCAAGGGATGCGGACATGAAGAACATGAAGCCCAATCTGCACATCGCCGACCCCCCGGAAGTAAGCCGCCTATCCATGGTGCGGCAGATGGATGTGAAAAATGTACGCTGCGGCATAATCTCCTGCACCGACAAAGCCCTCGTCCTCCTCTTCGCCGGCCTCCCTGGGCTCCACAAGGGCTACCTGGTCTACGACGCCTCCAGCAAGTCCATCTCATGGATCCCCAGCCTTCCCGGTTCCCTCAACTGCATGCTCCGGGCTGCCATCCTCAGCCTCGGGAAGGGTTCCTACCTTCTCGCAGAGCTCGTTCGTGGTCCGGAGTTGGGCCTTGTCACGCTCTACCAGTGGCGGTCAACCAGCAACACGCGCCGGGGCCGGTGGATCAGGAGTGCGGCTCGCCCTCCTCCTCATCTCTTCATGACCCACTCATTCCACATCGACATGGTGTTCTCGTATGGAAGCTCTTCTGTCTGCTGGGTCGATCTCCTCCGAGGCGTCCTCATCTGTGACCTGCTGAAATCACCGGAGCCAGAGTTTACATTTGTTCCATTACCCTTGGGCTACTGCATTGATGTCCCCAGTGAACCCCGCCAAGGTCGGCCGCGTCCAAAAGAGTTTCGCACAATGGGCTGCGTTGGTGGAGTCATCAAGTTTGTCACGGTGGTTGGTTACTACGGAAATCATAGCCACGATGACATGCTGCTGAAAACCTGGACTCTCTCACCCGACCACAAGGAGTGGGAGTTGTGCAACACACTAGCTGTGCCTCATCTTTGGGCAAGCGATAGCTTTCGCGAGAGAAATCTGCCACAGATTAGACCCTCTTTCCCTATTATCAGTCCAGATGATGCTGAAATCGTTAATGTCACGCTGAGTGATATCGAATATGAGAAGAAGGTCGACTTTTTTGGAGTGGTTCACCGGGGCCGAATGTTGCTCAAAGCCCAATACTTGGTCTCCATCAACACAGTGAAAAACAAGGTTCTCTCTTCCTGCAAACTAACTCATGAATATCCAAGACCAAAATTTCTTGATCTCACCGCTAGTGATTTGAGTGCATATGTACAAGACTCAAACGATGTCTGTAAGGTACTATTTGCTCTAATTGCATTCAGTTTATTTTTTCTATATAATAATAAAAAGGTCTTTTCTCTTTTATATATATACTCCTATTTAGGTATACAAGATACCTAATATCTATTCGTTTCTGCTAGGGACAAGCATGGAACAAGCAGGAAGAGGAACAATCCACATCTGGTGCTTATCTGACACAGGAACAACTAGGAAGAGGAAGTATTGAAGGACTTACACTGGATCGGGGAACTAGGAAGAGGAAGTATTGAAGGACTTACACTGGATCAGGGAATTCATATGCTTGTATTTTGATTATGGATATGAATGGGGTTTATGTATTGTTTGACCTCTTGGGCAAATACCAATGGCAAGATGTGGTTGATCAATAAAGCTCCGCAATTAAGTTTACTGATCCATAGTGAAAGGCAATCATGAGTATCAAAACATCTTGTGGTTCTATTTGAATCTTGAGTTGATATTTACCTTGGAATATGCCCAGAATTCTAAATTGGGGATGTGAAAATTCCTTGTTAGTTTATGCCTGAAACGTCTAAAACCCATATCTGTCATGCCATGTTACTCTTCTCTATGCTTTTGAAAAGCCCAAAAAAAACCATGGCAGTGTCACAATTTGCAATTATATTATTCAATGAAATGATATGATATGCTGGCGTAGGCAGCTTAACTGTTCTGATTGTTTTGTCAGCTATGTAGCATAGAGTATTTCATAATCTGAGCAAAGAACAATCTTCCTATGTGCTAGATGATTTCACTGGATGTCTACCTTGAAAATCGAATGCAATATTTCTTATCCTGTTTTGATGTCCAATTATAAGATGGTAATAATTATGCTTAACTTTATTGACCAGATAGCGAATGCATTCGACCTCTTTTCCATATTATAAGATGTTTTAGTATGTACTAGTATAAGCTTTTAATCTAAACCAGAGAGATTTATAAATCCATCTCCTTTCGTCTTGAATTGTCTTATGAGTATGCCTTTTCTTCCATCTGGAAAACTCAATGTTGTTTCTTTGGTTGCGTTGTAAACATGCGTGAGGATTGTAATACCTGTTGATGCTGAGGTGTTAATGACCATTGACAATCCTTTGTGCTTCATTGTTTTATTTTTTTTTTCCAAAGTCTCCCGAAGCATTTGGGAGTCTGCTGGTGGGTTGGCAAAACTTCTTGAGTCTCAACCTGCTAGTAAGAGTGTTTTTCCAGATTACAGCTTGTCTTGCTCTCTACAGTTGCCTTGCTTTAGATGACTAATCCAAGGCAGTACCTGTTATGCTTGATATAAACAATGATGATTTTTTTATTTAAGCACGGTTTGATTTTTCAGTTACCTTTCTCCCATCCACACTAAAATATCTTTATTTTTTTTTTTGAGACGATAAAATATCTTTATTCTGATTTGAACAGTTACCCATCAACACTGAAAATACTATTTTAGCAACCTGAAAGTGGCAGTGAGACTGAATCTCAACTTGCGATTATAACCATGAAGATTATGCAGGCCTTTCAGAATAACTTGAATGTGAAATCTAATCAGTACAAGGATCCTGCATTGTCTCACATATTTCTTATGAACAACCTTCACTGTGTGGTACGTCTATTAGCAGGTATAGCTCTTATGTGCTTCAGATTCACATCTACAGATATCTTGGTGGTGTCCCTGTTTAATAATTCAGAGGCACCGTAAGATTGTGCAGCAAAACGCTAATCAGTACAAGAGCGTAGCATGGGTAAAGGTCAGTGCATCGTCGACAATAGGATGTATATGTTTCTTCCTATTTTACTACTTGGTGTTAAAGCTTATCATCTTTTTGCTCCTTTTAGCCATAATATCTTGTTCATCATGAACCTCTACCTGTTTCACTGTTTGAGATCTATTTAGATTTTTTTTTTTTTTTTATAAAATACAATGATTTGCATGCTGCACTCAATTAATTGTTTACAGTTAATAAGTCTTTCATTAGCCGTTTTGGGTATATGAAGTGATCTTCTTTATCCGCTCATGATGCCCTCGCAGTTTCTTCATTCAATTAATTGTTTACAGTTAATAATTATTCTACTATACAACCTGCAGTAAAAAAAAAAATGTGTTCTCAAATGCACGCAGCCAAACCCTAATTAGTCCAACCAAATATACAAGTGCTCAGATTTCTCACATGAAAAATGTTATTATCCATGGAAGAAAGTGTGCTTGTGACATAGCGTCAATGTCTTAAATGGCAAATTAAAGATCTGCTAGGGATTGTTGTGTTTTACCTCGAATGTTAATGAGGGCAAAAGAAAATTATGGATGCACCACCATCTTGTTCCAATTTGAGTTTATTTCATTTAGTACAACGACAACAACAACATAGCCTTTAGTCCCAAGCAAGTTGGGGTAGACTAGAGATGAAACCCGAAGCAAGTTGGGGTAGGCTAGAGATGAAACCCAAAAGAAATCGATTGAAAAAAAAAAGAAAAAAAAATAATATATATATAGTAAAATAAAATAAAAATAAAATAAATAAAATAAATAACTAAATAAATAAATTAAAAAAAAAAACTCAAAACAAAAGGAAGAGATCGGAACACAAGAGAAGGGCAGCAATCATGGTTCTGGCACGTTGATCGCCCGCCTCCAAGCACTCCTATCCACCGCTAAATCCTTGGGGATATTCCAATCTTTAAGACTCTCTTAACCGACTCTTCCCAGGTGAGTTTAGGCCGACCTCTACCTCTCTAACGTCATCGACCCGCTGTGGAACTCCTTTACGCACCGGTGCATCAGAAGGCCTTCGTTGGACATGTCCGAACCACCTCAGTCGATGCTGAACCAACTTCTCCTCAATTGGGGCCACTCCGACCCAGGACAACGAACGTCAAAATGATCTGTTTTTCTATCAGA